CACTACTGATATATATCTGAAATAATATTTTCATACTATCCCTCTATTATATTTCAAGTCTTCTGAGGACATCCCAGTTGTGTGTAGGCACTTCCAACAGAATAATAAAGGGTATCATTGAATAATAAGAAATAATAACTGTGAACTAAGACAGATATTACCACAGTACAAAATTTACATTTGCTTTTCCCAACTCTGTCTCTCATATGTAGTTAAATTCACAATGTTCCTGCGTTTTGATGGTGTTCTTGCACAATTACCAGGGATTCATAAACTGCCACATAAGTATCTGCTACAGCAAACAATTCAGAATGGCTTTTGTCAATGCAATCTGTTTCCGCCTGCCTACCAGGTTAGAATGGTAAGGAAATAATTCTCATTTTTTTTCTGCAGCCCTCACACCTAAACTCAAAAAATTGTTCTGGAGGTTCCCCAAATTATTTTAAGCAATTATTGAGGGGGAGGGAAAACATAAATTCTTACTGAGTTAGCGAAAGTCCATTACCACAGCAATGGATTCCACTCTCTGGCTAAATTTTCCAAAACATATATTCTTAATCAACAAGTACAATTGTAACAAGTCTTACTTTCAAGTAACGTGTACTTAACAGTGTTGAAGCAAATTAATTCTACACAGTATATCTAACAAGCTAAAATCTTATACCTGGCAAAACTACCACAATGATTTAGTAGATCAAATTTCACTGTGGCAGTTATTTCCAATTTAAATCACACAGCTGGGAAGAAACTTAGCGGTTTTCAACTGAGATCAAAATATTTTGTCTTATGATTACCTTATCCATACAAAAGACATTTAAACAAAACCATAGCAAAACTTCCACAACTGATATACATCTGACATATTTTTATGCTACTCTTCTATTATGTTTCAAAGAGTCTTAAATGGAAACAGTAACCTATGACTGACAAGTGAATAAATACATAATATGTATGAGTAAATACAGAAGCTGTGAGGGCTTCAACAGTAACATAGAAAATTGTTTTAAAATATATATTTAACGATAACAAACACAACTGCAATAGTTATTTTAGATCATTTATGAACTTTACATCCCACTTCTTTCGTAAGCCTAACAGCTAACAATACTATAGATATAAAAAATGAAAGTAAAATAAAGCACCAAATAGGAGAGCCAATGTGCCTAATGATTAAGAATTTAGATTGGGTCTAAAATGGCCTAGGTTAAAACCTTACTGTTTTGTTTCAATCAGGTCCACTTTAAGACAATTCATTTTAGTTAATGCCATGCTGAACAAAGAGCAGCTACTTTAATAAAAGTGCTGTGCTTGCACAAGTCCCAAAATACTTCTCCCAAACAATTTTTGAAGCATGCATTTCCAGTATTTACTTATTTACATCAGTATTTATTTTATTTAACAGGATTTATAACCCATTCTAATCCAGGAATATTTAAAGACATCCATATTACATTCCAATACTCCAACAAAAAACCCCCAAGGATAATGAAATATACCCTGATTTTTTATTTTATCAATATATAAAATTGTTAAAATGTGAAAGAAATTGCTCTCACAGCTTTCTGTATTTGGTTCATAGCAGTTAAAAATAATGAATGAAGAGGTTAACAAGCACATCTAAATGCAGAGAAAATTCATTTTATAAGTCCATGGAAAGAATAAAAAGAAAACATCATAGAACAAGAAATTACTATCAGACAAAATTTCATGTGGCAAAATGTATATCCTAAGCTTTGATTCCCATCTGTCACTTTTTTTTGAAACATGGTTTTCTCTTTATCTATTTGGAAGCCCTAGAAGGCAAAAAGTAGAATACATAACTTTTTCTGTTGCAATACAGTGTTGATAACTTCTTGTGTTTTCAACATTAATATTTTGGGTAAATACAAAGATATGTTATATTCATTGGAGTTAAGAACTTTATGGGTCTATTTATTATAAAAATTAAAACTTGTATAAAGTAACTTCAATAATACATTTATAGTGAACAATATCTTTAAATTTTATGCAACTAAAGGTATCCTTAAGCAACCCAAATTATACATAATACATTTTGGAATATATTTTACATCTGTAGGAAGTGTTAAATATTAAGTACTCAAGTACAGTTAATTAAATACAGTTTTCTCAAAAATGTCCATTCTCTGTGATTTTGCCACAATATAAAATTCCCCCCCAAAATTAAACCTCTACTTTCATGTCCAAGTATTAACAAAGCACTTACATTAAATACATAATAAAATGTCTTAAGACAACCAAGCTACCAGAGAACTCTTAAGTAACTGATTTATCAAGATCTAATTTACTGAACATAAGACAGTTGTAATTCTAAAGTATTCTACTAAAACTGTTTCACTTCACTTGCATACAGTATTTTTAATTAGTTTTTAGTTATTGCATTTCTATATCACCATAATTAGAGCCGACTTCAGCCATTTACTATATTATGTCCTTGAGTTCTGCCCTTCAATAGTTACCTCAGCTTGAAAATGTCTTTCTGGGGGAAAAATACTCCTTACTTTCCAGACCTGGGAAAACAGTGTAGGGGGTGGTGGTGAAGGAACTGATATGAGAAAATCATCAAGCACTGGTTTCAGCACCCTCTTCCATCCACTTTTTTGCTTTTATTAAAGCCCTGTTCTACAATAAACACAGGACTGAGATCCTTATTTTGCACATTCATATTTTGTTTCATTCACAATAATGTGTACATCCTTCCACTTGATGAAGAGGAATGGATTAGACTACCAAATGTTAGATTCACTCACATTTAACAGGTACTGCCAGAGAAGAGATTCACACTGCAAGGTTCAGTGGAAGATAGGACCCTCAACTCTACTTCCTCTTCCCCACCAAATTTGTCTTTTGTGAGCACCTGATATTAGAAGAGGCAGAGTTAACCATGCAAATATCCCTGGATACCATTAAAAACAAGCCTTGCAAATACACTACACTATCATTGTATTGAACAATCCTTTTTCCTTTAAGAATTAACTAAGCTGCATTAAAGATCAAGAGTGTTAAGCCAGTACGATGAATTGAGACACCTGTGCCAACAAGAGAAAAAAGCAGACAAAAATCTTAAGGTACACATATTGAATTTAATATGGATAGAATTAGGCAAGGTCATGAGTAAATAGATTAACATAGTGATGATAAAGTAAATATAGAATCTAACTCAATGCTGACTGTCCCTTCACACAATTCACAAATACCACTCACTCAGACTACAACCACAGTCCAGCCAGTATCAGCACCTTCTGTCTTCGTACCTAGACCTGCCATAAAACCTGTTCTTTCTTCTCCTTTAACTGTCCAAAGAAAAAAATTGCTTCATGTAGCTATTACAGTACTCGTTACAACCCTTACAATTAAACCACAGTCCAGAAGACCTTAATCAGAGTGCCTATACCAATAGAAGCGAATATGTGTAGCTCGGGATTGAACTGTGGAGTCCTTGGGGTTCCCAGAGCTTGGTTGTTTTCTTGCAAACGTTTGGTTACCTGGCTAGGTAACATCTTCAGTGCACTGAAGATGTTACCTAGTCGGGTAATGAAACGTTTGCAAGAAAACCACCAAGCTCAGGGAACTCCAAGGACTCCAGAGTGCCTACAATTTGGCATCCAACCTGGTGCCAATCTTTATATTTGTATATTTATTAATATAGTTTAGAAATTTATACTGCCATCCAATTCTACCACAAATCAGATACACTGTACAATAACATCAATTGCCATTGCAAAAGTTAGGAAGAAAAACTTCCAAGGCAAAAGAAATATGCCTTTTACCTCAGTTATTTTATTAGTTAAAATAAATCTACAAATCTGCTCCTAAACTTGCTGAAACAGAGTTACTGCAGCAAAAAGCCAAGTATTCTAACATTTTAAAGAGTGACACTCGATGTGAGCTTTTATGACTGAATCCATGCATGTGGTATGTTCATTTCAGCTGTCAGGAGAAAGAGAAGTCTTTTATCGGGGTATTATTTTGTGTATCTAGCCAAGTAACTAGAAGCAACTCCCCAGGGCGGAAGAAGAAGAGATCTTTCCAAACTACCACCTCCCGGTGTACTGCACTGAAAGTCATTTAAATGCATCCTGTGCTTCCCAGCATTAGACCAAGATCCTTTCCCTCCATCCCTCTCCTTCCTATATGCATGAGTATTTCTGGGTAGGCTTGACCAAGTGCAGAGGAAAAACCTGAGATAATATTGCAACAAAAGAGGCAAGTCGCGAGGGAAGGAAAGAAAGCAACAGTTTAGGAATAAACGCTACGCATAAACTCCCCTCCCGAAAACTCATGACTTGCTGTTTATTATTCCCTCAACGCATTCGTGGGATTGTCGACAGCCCCGATGCCCCGTTTTCCTCCTCCCCACCTTCTTAAACCACAGACTCTATTTAGCAGGTCCCTGAACGCCCATCTATCCCAGCTACTAATAAATAGCAACATAATAAAATAGAAGGCGCTTTAAAAAAAAAAAAAGGCGAAAGCTTAAATTACAGCATACAGAAGTTTCTTCCACCCCACCCACGGATCGTTTCCTCAGCTACTACCAGGAGAAACCTCCCCCTCACCCCAGCTCTGGGAGCCTGACTTGGGACCCAAAGCAATTGACGGGCCCGAAGAGCTCCCCGCAGGGACACCCCTCAGCAAAAAAGAGAAAACCGGGGACGCGCCCCTTCCGTATCCACTCGCAAACTTATAAGCGGTAAAAGCAACCCGACCACCAAGTCCACCTCTCCCTTCTGCCGCCCCCACCCCACTTACCTACTTACCCTACTTGTAGCAGCAGCAGCCCGGGTGGAGGGCTAGGCGCATGCGCCACCCACGGGAGACAAAAATGCCATGCGCGGCGCGTGCGCACTGGCTGCCCGCCGGCTTTGGCCAGTCAGGTGGGGCGAGCCGAGGGGGCGGAGTCAGAGGAGGAAGGACCGGCTGGAGCAGGTTCGTAGGTTCTGCGGGGGCTGGGCTGAGGCTTCCCGGGGAGCGCGCCGGTGCTTTGCGTTTCAGGGAGTGCGAGCCGGGCCACCCTTTGCGCGCATCTTTTCGCACGGAGGCCTGGTGTGAGAATATGGCTTTGTTCGAGCGGCCCCAAGACACATGCTAGCATTGGGTTTTGGGTGACCCCAACTCGTGTAGTGGCTTCATGGTTCAGAATGGCTTTCGTCCCGGGAGTTTCAGAAAACGGGTTAAGTTAGTCGTGGGTAAGCATGTCGGACAAGCCCAGGCCATTTGTTTTTCCACGACTCACGTGTAAACCGTTCCATTCGAGAAAGGAAACGAAACCACTGTGTTAACGGCTTCCAGTTCTTCCGTAAAAGCAGAATTTTTGGCCCAGTCTCTCTTAATGCAGAAATATAAATTGTCGTTGTTGATAGGTTATTGTGGAAGTTCATTCTTAATGAGCTTAGAATATAGCATTGTCTGATATCAACAGAGGTGAATATGTGTATTTCAGGGTTGAACTCAAAACAACCCCCACCCCCACCAGCACTGGCAAGGCAGGCCACAGCACATAAACAGAGAGCAAACCTCACTCCATTGTAGCACTGAAGATGTTACCTAGCTGGGTAATGAAACGTTTGCAAGAAAAGAACCAAGCTCAGAGAACTCCAAGGACTCCACATTGTCTGATATGCTTGATTATTGGATTATTCTCCTCCAATCGAGTGTTTGCTATGTTAGATTACATCTCCCATCATTTTTGGTAGACGGGTTGGGGTAGTGGATAAGTGCAGGCCGACAAAGCAGAGCAACGGGTAGGAAAAACTACACTGGATTGTGAATGTTTATTATATCATTCACTGTTCTGTTTAAAAGAGTAAGCAAATCCTAATTGATTTGGGAAGTAAAAAGTGTACTAAAGAACAAGGGAAGAAGAAATGCAGTGTTAAGCACACAAGGAAATAAAAGGCTGTAGAAAAAAATCTGCCTGAGGAGTGACCCACCTTGAATGCACTTCTAAATTAAGTATGTTTAAAATCAGATTGGAAGACCTCAGAATGATACGAAAGACACAGAACTAGTGTTATATGCAATTTTTAAAATCACCCTTACAAATATATAGAATAAATTATATATAACATGGTTAATTGAAAAGTTATGTTTTGAAGAGTATAATTTACTCATTGGAGTAAATTGAAAAGTATAAATTAATAATATATTAATTATAAATTGTGTTTTAAAACACATGCTAATCTTTGGTTTTAAAACAGAGCTACAATGTCATGGATTGATTTGTTTGATGAGGAATGAACTGAGGCTCAGAAAATATATCTTACCACATTAAATACCTGATCAGACTCATTTTCTGACTATAAAGTACTTTCACCATTAGCAGTTTTCAGTTCTTCTGATCTTTTGTTTTTATTATTGTTCCCATATTATTGTTTTGAAAACTGAAGTTTTTTGTCTGTATTGAGACAAGCTTTTCTTTTGTTAGTTTATTTTTTGACTTGGTGAAGAGATTTCTAAGCATAGGTCAATTCCTTTAGCATCTTATTTAAAAAATATATATTAGGTGATATTTCATTGTCCGTTAGGGGCCATGAATCTAGCATTTCCTGCTTTTCTCCATTGGCCCTTCACATCTTCACTCGAAGTGCCATTTTTATTTATTCTCCACTGCTCTTTCTTTTTCTTAATTTCTTTTTCCAATTGCTTGAGGAACTTCAATTACACTGCCTCCGTTTTTGTTTCTTTGTGTGTCCTGCTTTTGAGCACTCGGGTTTTCAGTATTTTCTTTCTCTCGAGACTTGTTTTTATGAAACCTGCTTATTTTGCCCACAAAGGTAATTCTTATTCTTGGGAAAGATTTTAGTTCAAGTTATCCTCTTTTCCCCCCATGTTACAGACTGTCTCCAAACCCTCTTCATTTTCTTTGCATTACAAATACTGTTGAACATTCCAAGGAAACTAATAAATGCCAGAGGCTTCATTGTCACCACGGTATATTCTACAGTGCTTTAAACTATAAATCATGTTCGCTTGCAAAATAAGATGGATTCTGTTGAATGGAGCCTTTGTTTGGTATAATGAAATTTATGTGTGTATCCAATATTAGCTAAAGATAGTGAAAAATCACTTCCATGAATGTCTGCTTTAGGTCTTGAAGCCAAAAACTTCAATCTCTGAGGATATTGTTTAATAAACAGTATCTGAAAGACCAACTAGATATCTTCCAATGGTGCATCTGCATGAAGGGCCTCAGAAGCTGAATAACGTTGAGCTTGTTTAGAGGATATAACGGGGAACCACTGCTATAGCCTTCTGTTAGCTAAAGAGTGATACGTTCCTTTCTATATGGAATACTCATCCTCTTCCACCAAGGACAGGATGGGCATACCTGTGGATGGGTTGAACATGGAGTAGTGAGTGAGAAAGTGAACTCCCACCTAACCATGCACATCAGCTAAATTAACCCTGATGTTTAATATTGAAACCAGATTGCCTTCACCCAGAACGTGAATATACCTGTATTTTAGTAGCAGACTGAATGATTTGCATGCAGAAGTCCTTTAGTCTAATTCTCAGCTTCTTCAGGTATGCAAAATTCTACTGCTTGAAACCCAGGAACCCATTGCCGGTCACTGCAGGCACTGGTAAGCTAGATGCTTCTATCCCACAGTATTCTATTGTATTAGTTTTTGGCGTACCTATTTAAAGCATCACTGCTCACCAACTGTACAACTTTAATCCCCCAATCGCAACTTAAAACACAAACATGAAGTCAGTGCTATCAAAGCAGCTTTCTTTCAATGTGTAATTGAAAATTAATATATACGCTTATGATAGATATAAATTAACGCTAATATATTGTCATCACCTTTTTAATGTTAAATTTACCTGAGACTGTTTTGAATACTTTCCTACTTGTCTTTACAGTTATTTTTTTCTGGAAGTTCATTGTGTATATTGAGTTTCGTTATAAGTGAAATATTATCTTTTATTTGTTTTTGAACCAGTAACGAGGAAAAAAATCCACTTTATTTCTCTTCGGTCCATGTAATTGCTTTCTAAAGGGCACCTGAATAATCTCAGATTTAGGCTTTTTTACTTGGGATGGTCTGAATGGTATAAAAGAAATCTCAGTTAAGTGTGAAGAACTGTGTTCCCCAGTTTGTAAGTGACCTCAGGACTTACAGATAGCCACAGAGTTATCCTTTTGGGTTCTTATCAGTAATTTAATAGCTTTTTCACTGCGGTTATCATAAGAACTAGGAGCCCGGCCTATTTCTATTAATTCCTTTTCATTTCTCTTTCAGGGGCACACATGTCCTAGGCTTTTGACATGTTTCCCTTAAAGGATTCAGAATTAGGAGCTTTCACCTTTTTTGCTTCAGCTCTTCCAAATGATGTTTGTGGGAGCAATGGCCTACCTTTGACCCCAAATTCCATAAAGATCCTGGGCCGCTTTCAGATCCTTAAGACACTGACACATCCCCGGCTTTGTCAATACGTGGATATTTCTCGTGGAAAACATGGTAAGTATATTCTTCCCCCCAACGCCATAAGTTTTGGGTGTGATTGGAAGACCGTTACAGTAATTATTCTGTACATGTGCTTCAGAGCCTTATAGACTTCAAAGACTTCTGCATTTATTTTTCCCGAAGGCAGTAGTTTGCTTTTCTCCAGACTGACTCCATTGCAGCGTATTTCAGTCTTGTCGCTATTGTTACACATAACAGACACAGATGTAGCTGCTGTTTCCTTACAGGCTTTGTTATCCTATAGTTCAGATTACACTGATAATTTTGAGGTATTTCCTATTCTTTTTCACACTCTGTCTCTATATTTTTCTCTTCTATCCCCTTTGTCTCTTTCAAACTTCTTTTTTTGCTGGGATGTACTTGGTTTTAAATATATGAACTTCATTCACTGCATTTATTTCATAGGGTCCTGTAATTCATCAGTCGGCCTTGCTTTCACTTTAATTCTTTAAATCTCTCTTTTGATGTTGAAAGTTGAAAAGAAATGTGCTTCACAGAAGGCACTTTCAACCATTTTTCCCACTCCTTAAATTATAGAATTTATTGCTGGCATATATAACAGTAAAATTGACATGCCAACTGTAATTCTCACCTCCTGATATGTTCCTTATAGACCTCTGAATGTTGCAAATCATCAAATGGTACAGTTTTGAGTGCATCTTTTTCACATCATATGAAAATGATGTAAAACATATTAATTTCTTATAGTTTAAAAAATAAGTATTCTAAAAAGTGACATCAAGATATGCTGCTTTCTTCAGCATAAGCGGGGGGCAAATGAAGCATTAGGTGACGTATGTACTTCCACCAGATGTCATAATGTCATTACATAATTGCACCATTTGCATGATGGTGTCATAGCATGGCTTGCTATGGATGCTGCTGGCTTTCCACAACTTGATTATAACTCCCATTATTCCCATGCAGTCTGGCATATTGACAGCTGTGATTCAGCATATTTGGAAGGCACCAGATCAGAGAATGCTGGTGTAAACTAACAATCCATATGTCTGTCTTTTGACTGTAGTGAAGGTTGTGATTATATGCGTTAGATTGGCTGCGTTCCCACATTGTACTCAGCCTTGGTTTATTTTAATATGCTCACCTTTGTATACAGCAAAATTGCTGCTATTTTCATGGAAGGCTCTGGGTGGAGTCACAAATCACACTGTGCCATAAATCATGGCTTACAAATCATAATGGTTGAGTGCACATAACATGCAAACAAACCACATTATAGCTTAACATGATTTTAGTGAAAATTATGGGCATTTTGTGGTAGACAGACCAAAAGCAAATATATTTTGAATGCCCTGCATTCTGAAGTATTTTGTGCACTTAAAATTCATTTAAATGCATGGGATTAACTTAGTTATGATGAATTTCATGTTCCCTTTTTTCCAGTGTGATTTAAGCATATGGAGTGAGATCAGGCAAGCAACATTAAGTGATGATTAATGTCATGGCCGCCATTGATGCAATTAATATTTGTGTGAAAAGTACACTTGATATTGACACCTGGAATTGCGTGATCTTAATCCTTTGCCTTGTGCTGAAATCCCACTATAGAACCTGGGGATTCTGCCTGTTATTGATGTGAAGAGAAGGTTTTCTTTCCATATTGTTAGCAGATCCTGAAGAATATGTCTTTTGTATGAAAGAGCAAGGAGTAAAATCTTCCATGATAGGGCTTCAGTCTGTGTTAGGCCCTTATTCAGTACTAACAATTTAGTTTTAAAACAATTCACACTGTTATTAATTCTCTGAATGATCTCTCATTTAGTTTAATTCCTTTTTTAAAGATTTGAGTTAATTCATGCACAGTGACCTTTTAAAACATAGTTTAAAAGTCAATATTAGTTAATGTTTCTGAGGAAGAAAACAAGGAAAGATTTGTTCTGGGTTGGTCTTTATCTCATTTTGAGATATGAACAAGGAAGGAAAAAGGTGTAGTTACAATGGAGAATATTGTTCAGGTGGGTCTAAAGCATCCCCATAATCAATAGAGATATCAGTCAAGAGTTTTGACTCACCTCAGCATATATATATTGGATGCTTTTTGTGTTTCAAGAAGTGCTTGACAGTTACTTGTTGGCTAATTCTTCAAATATTTCTATGAAAGGAGGAATTGAAGAGAGAGTAGCAGCACAGAAGAGATCACAGATGACACATTTCCTCATTTTTAGGTGTTACAGTTTAGTTAAAAACAATTATGCCTTTGTAATAGTAACACTTCCATCTAGTATTTGACTATTTCTTTATCACATTTATAGACTGCTGCAAAGCACTCTTGGCAGTTTACACGCAAGATAAATACATAATAAACAATATGCAATTAAAAAAAGGTCCACAAACCAGTTAAAATCCTAATAAAATCAATCAATTAGCAAAACAATCCAGGCCCAAAGGATGTCTGGAAGACCTCTGTTTTGAGCTGGTCTTTCATCTAAGTTTTAACCAGACCTAACCCTGCTTAGCTTTGGAGCCCAAAGTCAACCAGGTGCTGCCACCTGCTGAAACCTCAAAGATATACAGCTTTTCAATACATCTCTTATATATAGATAAGTCTTTGACCTAAGTTCTTATCGAGAAAATAATGAGTTTTGGATTGGGTTAATATAAAACTATGAATTTTGCTACTTTGGAATTACGGTGCTAAAGCATCTAGCTGGTATATAAGCCATGGTTCTTATTTACCAGTTCAAGCAGACACCATGTATTGTTTTGCAGTGAGCTTATTCTGCAAATAATGTTGTTGTTTGCAAAAGTGTCCCTGTCTGAGTAGCCACTAGGTTATGTGGATTAACTGCTAGTATTCCCAATGAACATGGTTATCGCTGAGAATTCTAGGAGTCGAAGTTCACAAATCTGGAGGGTAGCAGAATTTGAGAAATTCTGTACATATAATGACCAGCATATTGCTAGCTACATGTATTGCAGCTATTCAGGTTTTCCCCTAACGGCACTTACTCTTATTTACAGTGTATACTTTCCACTGGTTTAGAAGTTGAATATGATGTGTGAATTGTCTCTTATGAGTACTGTATTTTTTGTATATAAAGTTAAATCAGAAGTTAGCTTTTTCCTGTTTTCTAAACACTGTTCAAAACTGATTATAGATTATAGTGCTTTCTTAGAATCATAGCATAGGATGCTGTGTAGGAAAACCTGTTAAACATGGGATCGGTTTAGTTTTTTTTTAAGTGAAGAGGTTTTTTTCTATTTCTTTTACCAGGGTCAATTTAACCTTAGTTATATAACTAAACCTGTGGCAAATCCTTAAAG